TTTAATGCGTAAGGGATACACTGCAAGCAACATGCAGACCCTGAAAAATAGAACAAAAAGAGGACAACGATGACACTTTTACAAACCTGATCATTAGTGGGGGCATTGACACGGATATTGAGACAGCGAGATCTAACAGCTTCAGTAACTTTTGAAGAACTGTTGCAGCATAAAATTAGCCTGCACGATGCACTATACTTCTCCATTGTTCTCCTGAGAGAATGTTGGGCTTCTCTAGAGAGCTTATCGACTTCATTCAGCACTAATACTGCCATAAAATAGAACATGTTATTGACTATTAAATATTAAATATATGGTGTGGATGTAGGTTTCCATGCTTAACTGATGCTTTACACAGGAAACCAATTATCACAATTGAGAATTGATTTAGCTGTCACTTACTCATGCTTGATGGTCAGGATGCTGGGAGTACAATATATCAATGTTCATGTCCACAAAGCTTGCCATTAAAGGACATCATAGATGTGCTATGGATTATAAATTGATGTGCAAATGTTTAGTTTGGTGTACAAGTGAGGGCACAGATGGAAGCTAATCCTTCCTGGGTCATATGGATAGCGCACTTGCTAGTTGCTACTGATCCGACTTTTCGATGCCAACATGAATGTCAACTTTAGCAGAAAAGAGTGCGAAAACAACGATTCTCTGAAGTCCAGCCCACACAACTAATTTTAAAAACGTTATCATATAAATATATGCATTAGGTGGTAATTCGCATATGAAAGAACCAGAAAGAGTAAATACTTTAAGAATATCAGCTGTCACAAGGGTGCTAACAGACTTCCATCATAAGGGATTACTCCATAAATGCTGACATACGTAAACATGTGAGCTATCTGCTGTTGACTCACAAAAACTTACTTGGGAAAAAACATGTTATAGCTTTTGATGTGGTGAACACAACACTGTGAAGATAACATCTACAAGTCACTTGATTGAAAGAAGGCGAAATAAAGGTTCTCATTGTTGGCCTCTTTGTTTTGATGATGTTCAACAAACAATTTACTACTAATGTTGTTTGTCTAGTGTTTATACATTCTTATATATTAGAGTATTAGACAAACAACGTAGTTGGAGGATGGATGGAATAGAGCCTCAACGATCATATCCAAAGGAGGTAGGCGGAATGTCGGTGAAGCCTTGCTATTCAAAGTTCAAGATCCAAGTTAAAGCTTCATCCGCGAGATTACCTAGAATAGCTTATTGAAGATCAAGATCTAGCTTGGGTAATTTAGTTTAGGATTTATATTATGTGTGTTATATACTCTAAGCTCAATATAATATACACACACATTTTATTAGTTTCTTCGTATATATATATAGTTATATATATATACACAAGTTTTGATCTCTATGTATATATATAGTTATATATATACATACATGTGTTTTGAGTTTTTATGAATATATATATGATTTGTGTTTTTGAAAACATTGCATAGAATATGCAATTTTTGTGAAAATATGGTATTCATTGTTTTTGGACTTAACAATAATCATATACATATTTTATTAAGTCTATATAATCATTGTGCAAAGTTTCAAAACATGGTTTAACCAAAATATCAAATTTCACACGTTTACATTTTCGTGTTTTGAACTATTTTGCAAAATGATGATTTTTCACAAATGAGAAATGCAATCTGGAAAATTCTTTTTGTAACATGTTCATTTACATGTTTATATATATTTCCCAAAGTATTATTATTTTTGAACTTCATTTGTTATTTTTAATAGTTTTCCAAAGTTCAGCTTTAAAAACCAGTTTTTGAATATGTCAGTTTTCGGTCAACCGAACCGGTCGACCGAACCTGAGTTCATATGCTCACTGTGCGACAGGGAGTCTGTCGGTCGACCGGTCCGGTCGACCGAAAGCTCCATCGGTCGACCGTACCGGTCGACCGACGATATGTGGTATTCTTTCGGGAACTTCCCGATGCATTGGATAATCCACCCCCAGTTTCTCTCTTGGAACTGGGCTTGACTTGGTTGTCTGGCCGGGTTATCCTTAAGAATATTAGTGTAATATCCTCCAGGAACTTCCCGTTAATGGTAGGGGCTTTTGTTCTTCGCGGTCGACCGCGCGAATTTTCGGTCGACCGCCAATAGAGTCGTTGTCTCCTAACGACTATTTCTGAGCTGATCTGTCTGGGGCTGTTTTGTTATTTTGGTTTGGGGTTTTTGTTGAGATCTTGAGTGGGTATAAATACCCAATTGCTGATATCTTTTCAAGTACCTAAGAAGTGTTTTAAACAAAGTTTTTAAACAAGGATTTAGGGTTTTATTGTTTGTTTAAAGATTGGGTTTCTGATTACAAAGGAGGAAGTTTTCACTGCAGATTGAGGGATTCATTCTCAATCCTCTTCATCCTCTTCTTTGTGTCTATAGAGAAGTTTTCTAACTCTTTTCTCTAGCAATTTCATTATTGATTTTTATATTCTTATTATTGCTAGTTTGCTAATTGAGTTAGATTTTATTTTACTCATTGTTACACACACCCACATTGAGCTTATAGTATTTACATACATAGTATAGTTGGGTGGTGAGAGATTGTAACTTTGAGTTGTGCTTTCATTGTGTTCTCATCCATAGTAGAGAACAATCACTTACTGTATTTGTGCTTAATTGTGAAATCACTTTGTAATACACTTGTACACCGAGTGAGAAGTGTGTGGTGAGTGTCGGGGATCGTCCCAAGAGAAATGGCGTCGGTTGACGTGCCTAGGGAGAGGTTGTAACCGAGCACTTGAGGGAGACACGGCTAGGTCCAACACTTAGTGGGTGTAGAGTGTGATTGCAAGAGTGTGAGTTGTAGAGTTTTCGGTTAGCTAGAAAACCGAGTGTGTAGAAGAAGTTCCGGCTTCCAAACCGGATTGTGTTAGTGGATTTCTCCCCAGGAGTGAGGAGCGGAGACGTAGGACGGAAGGTCCGAACTCCGTGATCATATTGCTTGTTTGAGTGTGCTTTGGCGTTCATTCCTCACATATCTTGTTGTATTTTATACTTTCTAGGATAACTTATTAATAAGTTTTAATTGGTATTTAATCGGATTAGATTAGCATAAGACCCTAATCACCCCCCCTCTAGGGTCTAACAATTGGTATCAGAGCTTGGTGCTCTTTGATTTAAGGTCTAATCGCCTTGAGTTAAAGATCCAAGTTATATTTTTGTGCTAATCTTGTTTTGATTGCATTTGTATCTTGCTTGCATATTTTTTACAAATCATGGATATGAATGATGCATCTTGTTTAGGCTATGATTCTAGTATTGCTCCTAAATTCAATGTTTTCCCCTATGCTCAATGGTGTTTTAGATTCAAAATATTTGTTCAATCTAAAAATATCGATTTATGGGAAATCATTGATTGTGCTTATATTGTGCCCACGTTGGAGAAATCCAAGTGGAGCAAACATGATAAAAAGATGTTTATTATGAATAAGCTTATGTTAGAATTTTTATTAAATGTATTTGATTCATTTATGTCTAACAAGCTTGATTCTTTTGATAGCGCTTATACATTATAAAAATTCATAGAAGCGCATCAACGAGACTTGGAGGCGATCCGACAAGCTTTAGAGGATCCCGCTTCAAGTTCTAAATGAGCTTCATGCACACGAGCACTAGGCGATAGCCCTAGTGAGGTTTGCAAGTTCGAATCTATTAGTGATTTATCTAATGATGAACTTGCTTGTGCTAGTGAAAAATTATTGCATGCCTTTAACAAATTGCAAAATGATTTTATTGATTTAAAATGCAAGCATGATAATTTAGAATCCGATCATGAGGAGCTAGTGTCAAAATTGGATGTCATTGTAAAAGAAAATATCATGCTTAAAGAAAACAATGACATGTTAATTTTGAAAAATGGAAAATTGACATCATCCATTTCTAGCTTAACTCATGAAAGAGATAATGCCATGTTAGAAGTAAAGAACATACAAAATGATACGGCTTCTTTTATAGATGACTATATATGTTCTACTTCTAATAAAAATGCACATATGCCTAATGATGAGTTGAATGATGTTAAAAACCGTATTTCTTATTTAGATTCAACTCTTACTACATGCATTAATAATCACAAGAAACTTATGGATATATGTGCTAAGTCTCATGCTACCATATCTAAACATCCCATACATCATGCACATATATATAGCAAAGTTTACAAGTGTTCAATTTGTGGTCGTAAAGACCATTTATCTAAATTTTGCTATGATGCACAAAAATCTCAAAATAGTAATATCAATGCTTCTTGTGCATCTCATAAGGCTTCTTCATCACATACACATGCACATACTCATCATGTTCATCATAAGCATGCTCATGTGTTTAAATGTGATATTTGTGGTCGTTTTGGTCATTTGGCCAAATATTGTTTTGATTTAAAAAGAAAATCTTATTTGCCAAATGTTTCTAGTAGGCCACATGTTTTTAGATGTGATGTTTGTGGTAGATATGGCCACTTAGGAAAGTTTTGTTTTGATAATGTTTCACATTTGCAAAATAATCTTAAAAGAAAATCTTTATTTGCAAATGATTCACGTGCACGAGCTAATGGTCCACAAAAATAAATGGATCTTTTTCATTGCACAAATTGTAATCGGAATGGTCATTTGAGCGATTATTGCTTTGACCGTGTTAGTGCACCACATATGCCTAAGAGGGTTCATAACCCTAGGGCTTTGAGCTTAAATGATAAGGGTCATGTCCTTAAATCTTTTGGTACCAAGAGTTCTTGGGTACTAAAACAAATTTGATTCTTTTTCAAACTAAGAATTTTAATGTTTTTATCATTCTTTGTCTTGATTTTGAAAATTATGTTTTAAAATCTTTTTGTTATGAAAATAATTTTCCTTTATCAAATCTTTTGTTTTCATGATTATTAGTTTTGATTTTAATGAGAGGCTTGTAGTTATATACCCTCCGGGTTTATTGGGTGTTTATTCCCAAATCATGTTTACCGGATGCTAGAATGATTATATGGGTTAGAACAAGCTTAAGAGCTGGATATATTGTTGCCTCTCTTGAAATTCTTTTGTTAAAAATTTTGTTTTGATTTGTTGCTTTTGAATTCATTATAATTCACCTATATGATGATATTTATATGTTTGTGCTTATGGATCATCTATTCGTGCTTTATAATGTATTCTATAAGTGGTTTGATCAAGTTATGTAAAGAAAATTTTCCTTTTGATCAAACATTGTTTTTTGTTTAAATGGTTGATTTATGATTTCATTTGGTTGATTTGTTTTCATTCGAAAACTCTTTTTGCATGATTCTCATGTTTTCTCTCTTTTGATTTCATAAATCTATTTTTTATACATGATTTTTAGGCTTGTATTTTGAGACACCTATTTATCGTGACATATCATTATGTGTTCTCATTATCTTGTTTGTATGTGAGTGATATCTAGCATATCTTTCATTTATGCTTGCTCACATTTGTTTGCCGTGTTCATAATTGCACATCTTCCATATGGTAATTTGATAGGGGGAGCAATCCATATACTATATGTTATACTCACCTATGCTTTATGATAGGGGGAGCTTTCGCTCTCTTATTCTTTTTCTCCCATTTTTTGATGTTGTCAAAGGGGAAGAAATATTGTGAGTATAGTCTTTCTTGTTTATATGCATGATATATTATACTTTGTATACTCATTTCCTTTCATGCATATATCTTTTTTATAAATTGTTTGTCATCATCAAAAAGGGGAAGATTGTTGGCCTCTTTGTTTTGATGATGTTCAACAAATAATTTACTACTAATGTTGTTTGTCTAGTGTTTGTACATTCTTATATATTAGACAAACAACGTAGTTGGAGGATGGATGGAATAGAGCTTCAACGATCATATCCAAAGGAGGTTGGCGGAATGTCGGTGAAGCCTTGCTATTCAAAGTTCAAGATCCAAGTTAAAGCTTCATCCGCGAGATTACCTAGAAGAGCTTATTGAAGATCAAGATCTAGCTTGGGTAATTTAGTTTAGGATTTATATTATGTGTGTTATATACTCTAAGCTCAATATAATATACACACACATTTTATTAGTTTCTTCGTATATATATATATAGTTATATATATACACAAGTTTTGATCTCTATGTATATATATAGTTATATATATACATACATGTGTTTTGAGTTTTTATGAATATATATATGATTTGTGTTTTTGAAAACATTGCATAGAATATGCAATTTTTGTGAAAATATGGTATTCATTGTTTTTGGACTTAACAATAATCATATACATATTTTATTAAGTCTATATAATCATTGTGCAAAGTTTCAAAACATGGTTTAACCAAAATATCAAATTTCACACGTTTACATTTTCGTGTTTTGAACTATTTTGCAAAATGATGATTTTTCACAAATGGGAAATGCAATCTGAAAAATTCTTTTTGTAACATGTTCATTTACATGTTTATATACATTTCCCAAAGTTCTATTATTTTTGGACTTCATTTGTTATTTTTAATAGTTTTCCAAAGTTCAGCTTTAAAAACCAGTTTTTGAATATGTCAGTTTTCGGTAGACTGAACCGGTCGACCGAACCTGAGTTCATATGCTCACTGTGCGACAGAGAGTCTGTCGGTTGACCGGTCCGATCGACCGAAAGCTCCATCGGTCGACCGTACCGGTCGACCGACGATTGTCCAGAACAGCTCTTCAGGCTTTTGTTCTTCGCGGTCGACCGCGCGAATTTTCGGTCGACCGCCAATAGAGTCGTTGTCTCCTAACGGCTATTTCTGAGCTGATCTGTCTGAGGCTGTTTTGTCATTTTAGTTTGGGGTTTTTGTTGAGATCTTGAGTGGGTATAAATACCCAATTGCTGATCTCTTTTCAAGTACCTAAGAAGTGTTTTAAACAAAGTTTGTTTAAAGATTGGGTTTCTGTTTACAAAGGAGGAAGTTTTCACTGCAGATTGAGGGATTCATTCTCAATCATCTTCATCCTCTTCTTTGTGTTTATAGAAAAGTTTTCTAACTCTTTTCTCTAGCAATTTCATTATTGATTTTTATATTCTTATTATTGCTAGTTTGCTAATTGAGTTAGATTTTATTTTATTTATTATTACACACACCCACATTGAGCTTATAGTATTTACATACATAGTATAGTTGGGTGGTGAGAGATTGTAACTTTGAGTTGTGCTTTCATTGTGTTCTCATCCATAGTAGAGAACAATCACTTACTGTATTTGTGCTTAATTGTGAAATCACTTTGTAATACACTTGTACACCGAGTGATAAGTGTGTGGTGAGAGTCGGGGATCGTCCCAAGAGGAGTGGCGTCGGTTGACGTTCTTAGGGAGAGGCTGTAACCGAGCACTTGAGGGAGACACGGCTAGGTCCAACACTTAGTGGGTGTAGAGTGTGATTGCAAGAGTGTGAGTTGTAGAGTTTTCGGTTAGCTAGAAAACCGAGTGTGTAGAAGAAGTTCCGGCTTCCAAACCAGATTGTGTTAGTGGATTTCTCCCCAGGAGTGGGGAGCGGAGACGTAGGACGGAAGGTCCGAACTCCGTGATCATATTGCTTGTTTGAGTGTGCTTTAGCGTTCATTCATATTTATGCTCATATCTTATATCGCCATTGTCATTAGCTCATTATCTATATCATCCACTATCTTGTTTAGATTGTTTACCCTTTGTGTTAGTTTATATATATCCTTGCATATATATATTCATCATATAGGATATATCCCTTGTTTACATTGCTTATCCTAGCTTATATATTTTGTTGTATTTCATACTTGCTAGGATAATGTATTAATTAATTTTAATTGGTATTTAATCGGATTAGATTAGCATAAGACCCTAATCACCCCCTCTAGGGTCTAACACTCATGTCCAACCATTACCACTTTAATAAAATACATAGCAAAAGCAAAATAACTAGTGATGAGTATAGGACTAACACACAAGATTCCATGATGCAAAATGAATACTCTATTATTTCTACACATCGCCTTTGAAGTCCATGCAAGTATGCAACTCCTTACTACTCCTGGGAAGCATAATCTAGAAAGTGTCTGGAACACCTAATATGTCCATGTAACATGTGGATTGTGGGCTAATCACCTAAAAGATGCATGTACTTCACCTTTCCACGTTAAATCCCTAATCATAAAACATAATTGTTGTGGTTGGTTATAGATATTTTACTAATCTTAAGTTCATGATTTACAATAACTACAATAGTAGATAAGTTTTAGTTGAACAGACCATAATATATGGCCATCACATATGTTTTCAAACCTTGCTATACGGAAAACAATATTGAAATTGGATTCACTACACAAAGATTAGAGCATAGGACGGTAGAACAAGCTAATTTTATTTATGTTGTTAACAGTTGATCTTATAGGCAATTTACAAACCTTGTTGAGACAACTAAATACCAAGACAAAGAAAAATATGGATGAACTGCTACTACCACTGCAAGGCGGCATTTATTATATCATATAAATTCTTCATGCTCAGAGATACAACATTTCAGTCACAAGCGTCTTTGTGCAGCTCATAGAGAGCTTAACATGTGTAAAAATGCATCACCGGAGTGTACATATAACCAACATTTTCCACCTCTTAAGACGCCAAATAATTAATCAATAACCGGCGGTGCATAATGGCAGAAGATAAAATATAATACCTTTGAAACCCTTTTTGCCTTTAGTATCAATTGGTCTGTTTTTCGCCATTTCCTTGATGATCTCCTGAACAATATACCTATCCTGAAAGCCTGCATCACTGGGATTCAGCTCCACGTGGTGTGTACTTGACAGTGTAGTCAGTTCTAGTTCAATAGTTCGGGATCCAGCCTGCAAGCATCAAGATAGAGACCCACTAACAATTTTTGCCCTAAAATAATCTTCTAATAACCATCCAAAAACTAAAACTCTCTTTACATTACAATTCCAGAGTTCCTTCACTGCTAAAAAAGTTTCAGCAAAAATATTTGGTTCCCCCCTTTTAATAAACGGTTAACATAGCCAAAAAAGTACTAATTTGAAAAGTCTAGAGAAGCTTACATCGATTTTCCAAGCTTTGTTCTCCATCTTCACCTGCAATCGAGATCGTTTAACCAAATTAATCACGAAAAACCAAAACCCAAAAAAAAGTAATGAAAGAGAGACCTTTTCAGCTCCAGGACCAAACATTTGCTTGAGTAGAGCCATGATTAGGGTTTTCTTCCCGGAACCAGGCGGCCCATAGAAGAGGAGATGGGGACAGTCCTGCTCCGAAACCTAAAAGAGGAGAAAGGTCAAGAATCACGGAAACCCTAGATCAGGAATCGATCTAGAAAAATAATGGGATAAGAAAAGATTACCAATTTCTTGAGGTTTGAGGCGATGTCATCGTGGACGATGACCTTGTCTAGGGTTCTCGGCCTGTACTTGTCGACCCACAACATCGCCGGAGAGAGGACAGAGAAACTCTAGAGAGAGAGTAGATGGAAGTGGCGGGAAAAAGGGGCGACTTCTATAGAATCGCAGCGTCCGGAGGTATATCAAGTGGAGAATATCGGAAACGGCGTGTCGAGTCACGTGCGTTGCAGGTAGGGCTGAGCACGGTTCATTCGGGTTGGTTTTTACTAAATTTTGAACAACCGATCCGAACCGCAAATAATTTAAAACCGAACCGAACTGTTACAAATCGGTTCGGTGCGGTTTGGTTCGGTGCGGTTCGGTTCTAACTTTATTTTTAGAATGAAGTAAACATCGAGTTCATATTTGTGAACTAAAGAAACGAGATCCCAACAGATGCTACCAAAAAAATAATAGCAAAAGATAAGAACAACATTACACATGAGCTATTTGTGAACTGAAGAAATGTGATCCCTATAGATTATTGTCTTCCCAAGAACAACATAACTTAAAACCAGAAATTAAGGTAAAAGAGATTACACCCCCATTCTACATCATCAAATTGAACATACATCTAATCAGAGAATGTTAATTGTGGGACGAATGAAATAGAAGTCTAATTGGGCTAAAAGAAATATCAAGTCTAATTGAGCTAAAAGAAATTAAGATAAAAGAAATAGAAAGAGGAAATAGAAAGGAGAAATAGCAAGTCTAATTGAGCTAAAAGAAATTAAGATAAAAGAAATTAAGAACACGAGTTGGAGACGGAGAAACGCTAACCATACGGAGGGTGGTGACGGAGGTTGGAGCGGCGGCGGCTGGATCGCAAGTTCGCAACAGATCTTGAGGTTGGAGACGGAGACGAAGACGGATGGCAGTAGGGCGGAGACGGAGTAACCGGAGACGGAGACAAAGACGAAGGATCTGAGGTTGGAGAAGTTGGAGAATGGAGAGCTAGGTTTAGATTTTAGGATTTTATAGTGAGGGAAGAACACGGGTCGGGTTTCGTTAAAATGTGTATAGTTATGGGCGACCGGTTCGGACAGTTCGGGTTGAAACTTTTTCAACCCGACCCGAACCGGTTAAGAGTTAAAACCGAATCGAACCGTTGATTTTCGGTCGGTTCGGTCGATTTTTCGGTTTGGACCGAACCGTGCACACCCTAGTTGCAGGTGCCCTCATGGTTTTATTGTGGGCTGAGACTCGGG